AGTGTGTATATGATGATGGCTATGTGTGACGTCAGTGTGTATATAATGATGTTTATGTGTGACGTCAGTGTGTATATGATAGTGGCTATGTGTGACGTCAGTGTGTATATGATGATGTCTATGTGTGACGTCAGTGTGTATATGATGATGTCTATGTGTGACGTCAGTATGTATATGATGATGTCTATGTGCGACGTCAGTGTGTATATGATGGTGTCTATGTGTGACGTCAGTGTGTATATGATGATGTCTATGTGTGACGTCAGTATGTATATGATGTCTATGTGCGACGTCAGTGTGTATATGATGGTGTCTATGTGTGACGTCAGTGTGTATATTATGATGTGTCTATGTGTGACGTCAGTATGTATATGATGATGTCTATGTGTGACGTCAGTATATATATGATGATGTTTATGTGTGACGTCAGTATGTATATGATAATGTGTATTTGCGACGTCGGTATGTATATGATGATGTCTATGTGTGACGTCAGTATATATATGATAATGTGTATTTGCGACGTCGGTATGTATATGATGATGTCTATGTGTGACGTCAGTATATATATGATGATGTATATATGCGACGTCAGTGTGTATATGATGATGGCTATGTGTGACGTCAGTGTGTATATAATGATGTTTATGTGTGACGTCAGTGTGTATATGATAGTGGCTATGTGTGACGTCAGTGTGTATATGATGATGTCTATGTGTGACGTCAGTGTGTATATGATGATGTCTATGTGTGACGTCAGTATGTATATGATGATGTCTATGTGCGACGTCAGTGTGTATATGATGGTGTCTATGTGTGACGTCAGTGTGTATATGATGATGTCTATGTGTGACGTCAGTATGTATATGATGTCTATGTGCGACGTCAGTGTGTATATGATGGTGTCTATGTGTGACGTCAGTGTGTATATTATGATGTGTCTATGTGTGACGTCAGTATGTATATGATGATGTCTATGTGTGACGTCAGTATATATATGATGATGTTTATGTGTGACGTCAGTATGTATATGATAATGTGTATTTGCGACGTCGGTATGTATATGATGATGTCTATGTGTGACGTCAGTATATATATGATGATGTGTATTTGCGACGTCGGTATGTATATGATGATGTCTACGTGTGACGTCAGTATATATATAATGATGTCTATATGTGTATGCATATGCTGACGCTGTGTGTGACGTCGGTATGCATATGCTGATGTCTGTGTGTGACGTCAGTATATATGTGATGATGTCTATATGTGACGTCAGTATGTATATAATGATGTCTATATGTGACGTCAGTATATATATGATGATGTCTGTGTGTGACGTCGATATGTATATGATGATGTCTATGTGTGACGTCGGTAAGCATATGATGATGTGTATTGCCGATGTGACGTTAAACTTTAACTCACTCACTCGATGTGTACGGATGCCATTGACGTCATTTATGCTTCGAGATTGTGTCCAAACATGTTGATGCCAGGAGACAAGTCTGTGCTTTACAAAAAGTTAACACAGTCACACATATCCTGAAGTGCAGTGTTTGCCTCTGTGGGGGTGAACATATTCCGATCAGACAGCAGGGACTTGGGTCAAGTGGGCAGTAAATCTTCACGGTGGCCACCATGTTGACTAAGTCAACCCGGAACTTGGGCGCACACGTGATCAGGTAGAGCGTCCCCTTGTGGATGTATAGCTTCACTCAGATCTATAGATACTGCGAATAGTGTATGTGTTATTGGTTTGTAAGAGGTTATTGAGAATGAAGACCTCAAAGGGCTCTGTCAGTCTTGATGTCACGATGGCTCTGTCTTAAAGGGGGACTGCACTCAGTATAGTTTTGTTTGTTTGTTTGTGGTTAACGCCGTTTAACTCAGCAATATTCCAGCTATATGACGGCGGTCTGTAAATAATCGAGTCTGGACCAGACAATCCAGTGATTGACAGCATGAACATCGATCCACGGTATTGGGATCGATGACATGTGTCAACCAAGTCAGCGAGCCTGACCACCCAATCCCGTTAGTCGCCTTTTACGAAAAGCATAGTCGCCTTTTACGGCAAGAATGGGTTGCTGAAGACCTATTCTATCCCGGAATCTTCACGGGTCCACTCGGTATAGTACCTTAGATGTATGTTATGCAAGCACCCCTGTGTTTCTTTATCACGTTCAAGTATATAAATACACCAGTTAACAATTACTTTTAGCATAACTCCAAGCATGAAATCAGATCCCAAAATTGTATCATTAGAAATAGATAAGGATAGACATTTTGCATTTATTGTTTGGAAAATGAATAATCAATATTTAGCAGATGTAGAATATAAGAAACAAATGTTTGATTTTTAAAATATGTTTGGTCAAAATTTGTCTACCAATCCACATAAAGATTGGGAATGGAAAAAACCATAAAAAACAACAATTACTTTTACTGGCCTCCATTGCGAACACGCCGGTACCAACAACACTTGGACCTCGACTTGCACTTCACCGACATTTACCTTTTTGTCTCCGTGACAGATAAATAACATGCACAGGTCTAGAAATGGTGTTTAATAAACATAGATTATTATACGAGCATGTGTGTCATACTATTTTTTACAAACGAGTGTCAGAAGTCTTGTATTTCCCGAGCGAGAGCGAGGGTTAGACATGAATTCTTACACGCGCGCGCGCGTGTGTGTGTGTGTGTGTGTGTGTGTGTGTGTGTGTGTGTGTGTGTGTGTGTGTGTGTTAGTGTTATAATTTCTTTATTATCCATTATTTCTTAGTTTTTTAATATCCCTCTTTAGAAAAATGCACTGCCCAAGAAAGCCACAATTTGTCGAATGACAATATTCAACTATGACGTCGTTTTTAGTGTGACGTCATTCCGTCCTCACGTCACAATTAGATTCGAATGACGTCAACAATGCCATCATGATGACGGAAGGAACAACCTGGTGCGGGAGAAGTGCGCGCAGTCGTGGATCCGGTGCATAATAAATAAATGTTCGATTGTGTTAAAATGTGGAGACCTGGGTGTAGTGATTCCTGAGAAAGTCTGTTGTCAGTCTCGCCGTCGGGCGTCTTGTCTGAAAAAGACGTGTGGCCGAAGAATCTCATCCGTGTAACGTTGTGCCTTTAACTTCCCGAGAACTTTCACAAGTCTGTTCTACCAGTGTAGTAGATGGCTCCCCACATCATCACGCTACCACCACCTATTTTGTCCACTTCCTGGATGCAGTTTCGTGCATAGCGTTCCCCGCGACGCCTGTAAACACGACGTCTACCATCCGGCACGTCAAAGCATAAATCGTGACTCGTCACCGAACCAAACTTGTCTCCATCACAGTTGCCGACGATGCAGGTCCGTCGAATGACACCTCGAACTGGTCGCCTAGCACGAATACCTCACTGTCTGGGCTGATACCCTTCGCAATCCTGGTATTGCCGTAGTTGTAGATATTTGCACTAGTTCACATACGACTTTTATAAAGTCGGTTATTTCTAACCATTTGGGTAATAATTAAGGATTGACTGAGTGTGCATTTCTTTAAGTTCACTGAGGCATGGTGGTGGGGTGGGGTGGGGTGGGTTTGGACCATGAATATGCATGAATGTCGCTAGAAAGTCCTGTGCATAACGATGCAGGTAAACAGTACGGGAATTCCCTCGACTGTAATATTAGGATTCCCCGACATTCCACAGCAATAAACGTAGTCCGCCTCGGTGGGCGTGGCTAATTTTTTTACATTCATTGGGAAATGAATGCAATAACACATGACCAGTTCGGCTAATCGGAACGCAGGAATTACAATGAAGACAACGATATTTAATTATTTGGAATTAATTCCAACGTGGTTTGTTTGTTTGTTTATGTTTAACGCCACACTCAGCAATATTCTGGATGTATTTACAACCTGATTTCCGACTCCAACAAATCATACGGTGATATGACAGCCGCACCGTTGGCATATTAAACATAGATGAAGGTACAAAGGATAAAACATGTAAATCGATAACGATCTGCGACATGAGATCATGCGTCGACGCAAGCCCCGTGTCGTATTTCGTTGCATTGTGACTCTACAAATTGTGGTGCACGAACTTCCCTGATCGGTTCGAAATGACTTCGTGTCTGGTGTCAGGTGTTTTCCTAGGTGTACATTTAGTTTTTAATCAACTGATCACAATAACGTTATCATGATGACTAAATTGTCATATTCACGAAGCCTTAGGCTATGTCAAAATGAGGGATTAATTGATTGATTGATTGGTTTGTTTATTTGTTTGTTTGTTTGTTGGTTGGTTGGTTGGTTGGTTGGTTGGTTGAATGAATGATTGAATGAATGAATGAATGAATGAATGGTATAACTAATCATTGTAACAACGGCTCCCTCAATGTCCGAAGAAAAAAGCTATAACATTACCTTCAATCAACTGCGCGACCGCCTCCGTGGTCTTGTGGTAGAGCGTCCGCCCGGAGAGCGGAAGGTCCAGGGTTCGATCCCGGGCCGCGTCATACAAAAAGACGTTAAAAGATTGTACTTGTTGTTACCCTGTCTGGCGCTCGGCATTAAGGGGCTAAAACAAGGACTGGTCGGCTCGGAGTCAGTATACTGTGTCTGAGTGGGGTATTCATGTTAAACTGCGGCATGGTATCTCAGTGAGCTAGCACTACAAATCGGCATCAGTCCGGACTAGTACAAGCAGCCACACACACACATACACGTGCATGCACGTCGCTATATAAGTGCAATAATCTTGGACGCGACGTTAAACCCAATTTCACCTCACCTCAATCAACTGCGTTACATGGAATATCCCGGTAATATTTTCAAGAGAAGAATTCCCTTTATGGTAAAACACAATGGATGAACTTCGGCAAAACAAGGTATAACTGCTTTAACAGCAATAAACAAAGGATCGATAACCCCCATTTGCCTTTTAACAGACGCGCATAAGGAGACGCTTCTAGGAAACGTGTTCCGTATGTCGTAATAGCGGACCGTGAACCAATCAACGGGTACACAGCAGCGGACAGGCAAGGTTGTTTCTCGGCGAACAGCTACGACCACAGCAGCAGAGGAGGTATTGGATACAGGCGGTATACTACGACTGCAGCACCATGGGGAGCTGTGCAAGTATAGGAAAATGTGTGCTGATACTGCTCAATGTTATTTTTGTGGTGAGTTTTAATTCAGTTTACAGCAAAGCCCTATAGGTTATTTATACAATGTAAAGACACAAGAAATATATGCTTTTCTATAAGGGTATCATGTGTTTAAAGTCAGTTATTATTGTCTAGAAGCTTATTCTATTTTGTAAATAAATACAATTTTGAAAACGTATGTTATCATTGGATCAGTGTAGTATATGCTTAAAGCGAATGTATAAGTACAATACCGCCTCCGTGGTCTAGTGGTAGAGCGTCCGCCAAGAGAGCGGAATGTCGGGGGTTCGATTCCCGGCCCCGTCCTACGTAACACGTTAAAAGATGGTATTTGTTGTTACCCTGCCTGACGCTCGGCATTAAGGGGTTAAAACAAGGAATGGTCGGCTCGGAGACATTATATTGTCTCACAGTGCAGCACGGTATCTCCGTGGGCTAGCATTATAAGATCGGCATCAGTCCGGACGAGTACAAGCGGCCACACACACGCACACACACACGCACACACACACACACACATAGTCATAGTCATTGACCCAGGTTCCATATGTCACACATGGAACAGTAGATTTTCAAGGTGAAGGTCACCTGTTCTCAATATCTTGTATGGAAACCATTAGAGTCCAAAACTGACTGGCATCGTCGTCCCGTGGAAGCAATCAGGTCCCGAATCGTGGCCTGGGGAATGTTCACAAACTCTGCCTCCAGTGCTTAGCCAACTGTCGGAGGTTCTGTGGTTGCTGCTGACGTGTTTGCAGTCGTTGATCTGGTGCATCCCATAAATGTTAGATTGTATTAAAATGTGGAGACCTGCAGGGCCCTGGCAGGACTTGGGTGTAGTGATTCCTGAGAAAGTCTGTTGTCAGTCTTGCCGTGTGAGGTCGGGGGTCTTGTCTGAAAAAGACGTGTGGCCGAAGAATCTCATCCGTGTAACGTTGTGCCGTTAACTTCCCGAGAACTTTCACCAAGTCTGTTCTACCAGTGTAGGTGATGGCTCCCCACATCATCACGCTACCACCACCTATTTTGTCCACTTCCTGGATGCAGTTTCGTGCATAGCGTTCCCCGCGACGCCTGTAAACACGACGTCTACCATCCGGCACGTCAAAGCATAAATCGTGACTCGTCACCGAACCAAACTTGTCTCCATCACAGTTGCCGACGATGCAGGTCCGTCGAATGACACCTCGAACTGGTCGCCTAGCGCGAATACCTCACTGTCTGGGCTGATACCCTTCGAAATCCTGGTATTGCCGTAGTTGTAGAGGTGGCCGTGGTGGTTCTTTCACGTATCAATCTGTCCTGTGCTGTAGTAATGATACGTGTTCGACAGGATCTGGGAAGGTCACGTGTTGTCCCGTGTGTCTGATAACGGTTAAACTGTCTTGTAATGGCTAGAGTTAAAGATGATTCTCCACTTCACAGTCGACCGAAGGCGTTGTCGCTTTGGGCTTCCGTTAGTCGTGACATGTTTACGCTGTTCACTTGGTGTGATGGCATCAAATGAAAACTCAACGTTTTTTATAGCCCAACAAGTGATGCTGCACGTGCATGTCATGTTGGTGTGTTTCGGCGCGATGATCTCACGTGGTTGTGTTTTTGCAATTTTTCAATCTTGTACCTCATTCTTTCGTCACAAATCAATCCCAATCCATGCAGAAATGACCAATTCATTTCTGGATATTAATTTTGTATGGATGTCGGCAACACATATTTACGATTTTTCTACTTTTGCGTTTCTTTTTATGCAGAGCATACATGCTAGTACATGTTTCCCATAACGATAACATGTGTCGACGATAGGCTTTAGACTTGAATCTGTCAAAGAATCAATAATATGAATTTATTAAGGACATAAACGCTGCAACGAAATGCGATCTTCTTTTTCGACGAGCTGTCTGCGTATTGATACTGTGTCATGCATAGACTTGTTTGTACTCAAATACCCGTCAGGGCCCTTGTAATTGGTTTCTCTTCAAATGATATATTAAAAAGGTAGCAATTTCAGAGTTTAAGGAATTTATTTAATGAGATTTATAAGGACAGTGAATGGTGACATTTAATTGTGTAAACTAACATGTTTCGATTCACAGGATTGTTCGAACAAGTGGGGAATTCAGAAAATTCGCAATTCTCATTGTGAATATATAATATTTTTATGATTATCTGGCTTTTGATAAGGGAAATACAGTGCCGGGCAAAAGAACGTATACACGAATGTTTCATGGTGGCTTAAAGGGGAAGTGTACACGCAAAAATTACTTTCTTTCTTTTTCTAAACAAAACGCAATTTTAGAATTAGTTAGTATCTGTGTTTGAAAATATACACTAATTTTTTTCACAGTGAAAGAAAGAAGCTCACAATAGTGTGAAAATGATATGCCGTTATAAGGCCTTCGTTTTTCGAGCTAAACAGGCCTGAGTTAACCCCCTTAGATTATGTCGTCATTGGTGCCAATTCAACTGGGTCCCTGTCTATTCTCAACGCAAAAGATATCAAGTACCAGTTTGCGGTAAAACAACATGGCCTACGACACACACCGGCGCAGTGGTGACTCAGCATAACACTATGCTGGCTGGCATCTGAGACGCTAGAATCACACACCTGTACCTACACCACGTGAAGCGGCTCTAACAAAGCATGATGACGTCATAATGTTTATCAATTGGCACCAATGACGTCATATTGCAAGGGACATAAGCCATGGTGTTTTTGTTATGGGAATAGAACACTTGATAAATGTGAAAAATGTAAATCGTTTTAATGAAAAAAATACGTGAATTAATTGTGATATTTGCCCTTAAAGGAAAACAAACCAGAAATAGTAATGCGATGGTGATGTATTTGATACGGATGTCATCGTCGTGTTTTGGACCGTACGTTTGCCGTTTTTCGGCGAGTGTTTTCAACCTGGTAACGTATTTAATAACGTTTGTAATTTTTGGGTCAAGTTCAAATTTAAAAAAAATTCTTTTGCCCGTAAGGTTATTAATACAGATCGAGAAATATCAATTCAGTAAATTTTGATTAATATTTCTAATAGTAATACAGACAGACAGACAAATATATTGGGTACTTCAGGCCACCGGCCCATAATACAATGGAATTATACTGTATATATATTTGCATGCTGATTTAATCATGATTTACCATTCAACACTATGTTTCCGTTCGAATGTTCTTGAAAGAGAAATTTACCTAAGCTTTTTATAATTTTTTTCAGTCTTATAAAATTCTCAATAGAGGGAGGGGTAACGAGACGCTTGGGAAAAGAGTTTCTTCTTGCTCTAGAATACTGGTCACAAATCATAAGAACATGGAATTCATCTTCAACATGGTTATGTCCCTTCGAAAAACAGAAAGTGCAGACACGTTCATTATATGGGATGTTGTTGTGACGCCGCAGTTCAACAGCAAGTCTGAAATTATTACACCGGAACATGGCTATAAGTCTACGTTGGTAAGAAGACATATCACAAGTAATATATGATTCCACATTTAGTAATGACTTGAGTGAGTGAGTGAGTGAGTTTGGTTTTACGTCGCTTTTAGCAATATTCCAGCAATATCACGGCGGGGGACACCAGAAATGGGCTTCACACATTGTACCCATGTCGGGAATCAAACCCGGGTCTTCGGCGTGACGAGCGAACGCTTTAACCACTAGGCTACCCGACCACCCCTGTAATGACTTGAACTATGAGTAGTAAATAGTAATACAAACACTTATAATCTGCTACATTCAGTTCATTGGAAGGGGCTCTAATTGGCTGTCCTCACAAAGACACCCTTGTCTTAAGTACTTTACGTCATACACTCATGGGGTCATGAACAGTGGATGACGTCATATCGTATTGTCTTCAACAATGCCGCCAGATGAGGTCACGCGTCTTCCCCTGACCTCGGCTATGATAATCTCTAATGAGCATTCATTTGAAGGTTTTCAAACACTTTTTAAACCCTTATGTGAAATGGATATATAATGTCACGCTCCTGTATATTGAGATAACATGTAGTGTGTCAGTGCGTGCAACTCTCAAGCCAAGGGCCATATCAGAAGAAAAAATCGCGCATCAGGTTTCCATGTTGCGGGCAGCGATATTATCTTGGATATTAAATCCGGTATTTCAATACATTCACTGAACTATCATGTAGTGTTTGTTGAACATGGTTTTATTCAAAGACAAAAGTGAATTTTATTCACCACATTTTTTGTGCGGGTTGTTATGGACTATAAAAAGTCATAACACCATTTTAAACTTTTGATTTTGCAAATTCCTTTGAAGCAAGACATGGTATTGCTTTAAACAAAGGGGTATTATTACCGAGGACCGGGTACATATTGATGAAGCAGTACACCCGTCAGCAAGGCGTAATTGATTTGGTAAATAAAACCTGTAGGTTATTAGTAACTGATCGTTTTTTTTACCATCGTATCAAGTTACACGTGTCTATAAACATATAAGACACTAGCCTTATGTCTAAATGATATCAGTGGAATATGAGGATAATTTCCTGCACGGAATAACATCGCAAGATCAAGCCCCCCAGGAGAGCCCTGGACGCGCGGGCCGGGGACATTTTTGATACCCCCTTCACGGGACAAAGCACGGTGAATAATGAGGTATCACATTACCACTTAGACACGGCTCAAGAACGACATATCTGATCAGCGACCTTCACTAACTGCTTGACGGAGAGGGACGTAGCTGCCCTCAGGCACAGAATGCACGTGATTTAGATTTCCTGAAGAAAAATAAATCTTTTTTTTATAAAACTGTTTTTGCTGGGTATCTGTGTCCTATTGAGAATGATCTCCCCACTGTGTGCACCGAGGCATTCCTGTGTCATATTAGGAAACGTCGTTATCGGAGTCTCGTCAAGACTTGACTTTCTCGAGCAGGAGACTCTTGCTTCCATCCAGCAAAATAATAGGCACACAACATATCCATAATAATGCACAAAGGTTAATCCTCATTTTAGCATTTCTGATTCGTTACATCTGAATTATCGC